GGCCCAGATTAAAGGAATACCTTCCAACCTCCAGGTCTGGATTAAAGGCCTGTGTCTTCTTGCCTCAAGATCCAGATCACAAGTGTGCCTTTCATTTCTGGATTAAAGTTCCTTCCAGTTACAGTCAGGTTGGCAACCAAGATTAGCAATCACATTGTCTCACGTAATTTGCCTGACCTCCTTAGTCAGTCCACGCTGCTCACCTTAGTGAAGTTCATTTCAAGTCCACCAAGCCTGAGACTGTAGCTTGTAAGTCCTATGGGGTGTTCTGGTCCAGGCTGACACTCCGCCTTGTGTGGGTAGAATGCTAGAAGTCGGGCTGGTCCAGGAACACGCCAGGGGACTCAGAGGGAAGTGAACGTCCTGACAAGTATGCACAGCATGCCTCCTTCAATCACATTTGACTAATTGACAGGAAGGCTCATGTAGGAGACTAGAGCTATATCAAGTCACACCAGTTATGGGGCTGGGGCAGGGTCACTAGCAGTTCAGCTCTTACAATATTCACACTCTTTGGCTCAGCCACTCAACTGGAAAAATACTGCACTCAGGACACAATCAAGTATTATTCAAAGCAGTGGCAGGATTGCAGAAGTTAAGGCTTCTGGATAAACATGAAGTAGTTTTACTAACTTCTCTGTAAGAGGCTGGCTATGAAAGGAAAGCACACTCCACCTTGTATCCTACATATCCGTCTTTGTTTAGCAAATGTTTTCGAGTTCCCATGGCAACTCCCAAAGATGTCTGTGTAAAAGGAAACTGGGAAGTTTTTTTTTAAAAAAGAAATGATTAGTGTGTTCTTTTTATCATGGGAAGCTCGTTCTGTGCTGACAGATTACATTCCGACAGTTAGCCTGTGATCCATGACAGTCTTGACAGACTGAATAATAAGGAATTTCCAGGAGCCGACAGTCTTCATTTACAGTTTTATGTGTAAGTGGTTGCTTTCATTGAATTCAGGAGATAAACAAAAATGCTAAATACTTGGAATACTTTTCAGATAACCCAGAAGTACATCCATACTTGAAATAGCTGACAGATGTTTATGTGATGGCCGTGGCATGACGGAACATAAGCTTCTGAACCAGGGGGTGAGGGCCAAGCCTCGCTGCCACGTACTATGCTGTGTGAGCTTCGGGAAGGCACAGAACTCCTTCAAGCCCTGCTTCCCCAAGTAAATTAAGAACTGGAAACAATGCATGGAGGGCAAGAGAGATGGCTCAGTGGGTAAGGAGGTTGCTGCCAACACCAAAGACCTGAGTTTGATTCCCTGGACCCACATGGTGTCCTCTGGCACACATGCGTGCTTTGGTATGTGTATGCACATGTACAAATACACACACATAAATGAATAAGTAATGTAGTTTTTTAAAATGTGTGCAAAGTGTCTACTTTGCATGAAGGACATGAGTATGACCATTGATTTTACCAAAGGACAGAAAGAAAGGCAAACACAGAGAAACTGAGCACATTGAACACATACTAATGTATGAACAGCAGAACTGGAGGGCTCTGAGCTTCTGGCCTTTATGAGATTATTAGTAGATAAATTCCCATCAGGCAATAGGACAGACTTGTGAGTCTGTAACGTGGAAAACCCGGCAGGTACATTTCACAAAGGGCATTCTTTGAGACTTTTCAAAATGGTTTAAAATTCTGTAGAGTCAACTAAAACTCATGTGTGTGTTTGTATGTGTGTGTGTGTGTGTATATGTGTGTGTATGTATGGTGTGTGTATATAATGAATATATGGTATGTGTGTGTTTATATACTGTCTGTGTATGTATGGTGTGTATGGTATGGTATGGTATGGTATGGTATGGTGTGTGTGTGTGTGTGTGTGTGTGTGTGTGTGTGTGTGTGTGTTGAAGCCCAAAGCCGACACCAAGAGCATCCCTCAATCACTCTCCACTTTATTCACTACAGCAGTGTTCCTTACTAGACTCCGGCCCATCAGTTTCCCCAGTTTAGCTGCTGAATGTAGACAGCTTGCTCTGGGGATCCTGCCTCCACCTCCTGAGCGCTGGCTGGGATTATGGTCAGCCTTCACACCTGTCTGGCTTTTCCTTAGGTTCTTGGGATCTGAACTGCTGTCCTCACACTTGCATGGCAACTGCTGTCTCTGCTGAGCCACCTCCCCAGACCCACAGAGAGCTAAATATAAAGCAAACTCAGAAGGAACAAATGGTCAAACACTCAAACTCCCAGAGGATGTGGTGAAAGAGGGTCAGAACTTTCTCAAAACCCACTTAAGACAGGGCAATGCCACAAGCAAAGAGTCACCCTTGAGGAAGGCTGGCATCAGTGCTGGGCTTGTCTCAACACAGCATTCAAAGTGCTTCTCCTTCCCATAAGCCCTTCCACATTCTGCATCTCCTAGCTTGCTCTTATTAAACCTGTGCACAGAAACAGTCAGATTCCTCCTTAGTCTTTCCGCATTTTTGTGCGCTCATTTTTAGTCTTTCCATAACCTTCAACTACTGGAAACAATAAGAGTATTCCAGATGACCTCATGGGAAAAACACAGAAACCAGAATGAGACATGAGATGAAAGTCCATGTGAACTTCCTTCCAATGAAAGAAACAATTCCAAAGTCCTTACATGCATGTGGCATAATCAGGCCACATAAGGTGGTCAGTGTATTTAAAACAATCCACTTAGTAAGCAACTGGCTGGAGAGATGGCTCAGAGTGTGTGTTTGTTTGGATGAAAATGGCTCATAGACTTGAATGCTTAGTCACCAGTTGATGGAACTGTTTGTGAAAGATTTGGAGGTGTGGCCTTGTTGGAGGAGATTTGTCCCTCGGGTTGGGCTCAGGGGTTTAAAGAGCTAATGTCATTCCCAGTTAAGTCTCTCTCTCCACACCTCATGATTGCTGTCTCAAGATGTGAGCTCTCAGCTAACTGCTCCAGTGCCATGCCTGGTACCATGCCCCCACCACGATGGGCATGGGTTCTAACCCTCTGAAACCATGAGTCCAAAATGAAAAGCTTTCTTTTATAAATTGCATTGGTGCTTTGCCATTCCAATAGAAAAGGAACTACGACAATGTGTAAAGTGCTTGTCTCACAAGTGTGAGGGGCAGAATCAGATCCCCAATACCCACAAAAATGTTGGGCAGGTATGAACAGCCTGCCTATACTTGGAGCACTCAGAGGGTACAGCTCTGAACCAAGCTAGCTATCCAAACTGGACAAATCGGTGAGTTCTGGCTTCATGTGAGAGCTCCTGCCTCAATACATAAGGAAGAAGAATGATCGAGGAAGAGACCTAATATCAACCTCTGGCCTGCACCTGCATGTGCAGACACACATGTCAACACATACACATGCACACCACATATACACACATGAAAAATTAGTAGAAAAAAATGTCAACAAAACTATGTGCCCATTACTGATGGTAATAAGATGTCAACAGCATGCTTTCAGGATCTGAATCTGGGTTTATTACTTTTAGGTCTAAGGAGAGTGAGTGCATTCCCAGGGTGGGACATCCAACCGAAAACATACTGTTCAGCAGAGACTTTCTATGACTATGTGCTTCCCACCTCCCGCGTGCCATCAGCAATAATAGGAACCATGGGAGTTTGAAAGAATGATTTAAAAGAAAGTCCCAGGGCTGGAGAGATGGCTCAGAGGTTAGGAGCACTGGTTGCTTTTCTAGAGGGTCCAAGTTTGAGTTCCAGCACCCACAGGACAGCTCACAACCATCTGTAACTCCAGTTCCAGGGAATCTGGCTTCTCTGGGCATCAAGTATGTACAAGGTGCACAGACGTACATGTGGGCAAAAGAGCCATACATATACAATATTCTTTCATAAAAATGAAGATGAAAGCCACTACGATAGCTGTAAGTACCCATAAGAGACTTGCTCCCACATGGCAACTGCACCACTACCATTGTCACCAGTTATTTCCTTTCAGTGAGGTGGGACTGAATGGAGTCTCATGATCCTCCAACCCTGGTCAGGAACTGGTTAAGGTTTGGGTCAATCCTGGCTGCTGCCTACAAGTCTCAGACAAAACAAAGAAACGTGATTAAATTGATAACCAAAGGATGCTTTTGAGTATAAGCATGTCTGAAACATGGCCCTGGGACATATGACATACAACTTCCTGTGTTCCATGGGCTTTTCTGAGTGTTTTGCAAATATTAACTCACAAACTAAATGAAAACACACAGGGACATAAATACATGCCACCAGATTGACAATCTGAGAGCAAGAAGAGTGAACTGTAGCTTATGGTTTTCAATTTCAAAAATTATGCATCTTATAATTGAGATGTTTTATGAGTTGTCACTAATTAGAAGCAAAACAATCTTACGTTAAATTTAAACATAGAAAAGTGAAAAGACAGACCATGTGGCAAAGCAGAGAGCAGTGGACTGGGAACAACAAGGTCTAGGTGTCTGCCCTGGCTCACTTGGCTTTGAACAGATGGCTGCTCTTGTGGGAGGGAGGGAACGTCCACAATATTAAGGCAGAAAAAGAAATCTTTAAATGTAGTGTATTTCCCAGTTTCCTATCTAAAATAAAGAACTGGCCCTTCAAGAGTAGAAGTGGGGTGGGGTGGGAACCTGACAAAGAGCAACTAGGCAGGAAGGGTTTGCTTTTGCTCACAATCACAGGTCACATCCATCATTGTGGGGAAGCCACACTTCAAAGTCAAGAGCAAAGAGAAACAACTGCACATATGCTCCACTCGATTGTGCTCAGCCTAGGGAACAGGGCCACCCACGGTGGGCTGGGTCACAAACTGAGCCACGGGCCAATGCTCACTGGGACTCTTCCCAAGTGAGTCTAGGTTGTGTCAAGTTGACAATTAAAGCTGACCACCTCACCAGGTGACCAGGGAAGATCTCATTTCTGTGGATTCAGGTTTGCTAGTTTGCAACATGAGATTTGAACAAGATCATTTTGAAGGTCTTTGCAGCCTTCAGATTCTAGTATGACTCGTAATTTTGGAAAAGTCATTTGAGGAGAGATGCTATTACCTCTGCAATCATTCTGTTGGTATCCCCCAAGAAGAGCAAGTTCAAAGCTTCCTCCTCGGTTGTTGCCTGATGAAGGGACAGGTTTTTCAGGTGAATGTGCTGATCAGGGTCCTCCAATATTGTCACTTTCCTGGGGAGAAAGGAAGCACGGGAACAAGTGCTACAGGAAGAACTGGAAATGTCGCCGCGATCATGTGTTCCCAAACCATCCAGCAGGAACAAACACAGGTGATCCCAGACATCACTGAATCAGCACTAAAAAAATGACACCCCCCTGGAGAGGGCTTTTAAACAGCCCGAGACTGGAAAAATATTAACCTCCCAATTAAAGCTGTATGCCACTGCAATCTCCAGGTCATTAAACCAACTTAAAATACATGTTTTATTGTATTAAATAGAAAGCTGTTAACTTTCTTCCTCTGTATCATTAAATGAAGTGATAATTGGGGGCAGGTCATAATCCAGTTTCTTATGTCGGCAACATACCGATCTTTTTTCTGTCTTATCATGCCCAATGTACATGATATCCTAATTCATAGCCAGCTTACACAGGAAGAAAATTTGGGTAGTGATCAGTCTTCTTGGAGGGATTCTCTTGGATTTTTCTTATCAAGGCATAAAAAAATTGTCAAGAAGTTTATGAAAAAGATTAGTTCATTCATCAAATCCATTTCTAGGACCTTACTTTTTCCTGCTCTGGCATTTCCCACCAGAGCCTTGGAATCAGATCCACTACTCCAGTTTCCTTAGGGTGTCCCAGGGCCAGCCTGTTCCCTCCCAACCCTGCTCCCCAAGAGGGCAGTTGACATTCTCTCCTGGTCCTTTCCAGGCTCCCTGCAGCAGGTTCCTGCAGGTTTGGAAAACCCCCAACTCTGCTCCAAAGACCTGCAGATTTGATTCTCAGAGTGGCTAGAGAGGGTTCCCTCCCAAGAGAATGCATCATTCACGGGTTTTGCCAAAGGCCATCTCTGCGTGTGTTTCACTTGCTTCAAACTTCAAAATTCATGGTGTTGAAGAAAGGCTGGTACTACCTGGGACACTTTTTTCTTTAGAGAAAAAGCATATGGACATGCCATTCCCGACCATAAAACATTACTTACTGGGGGCAGAAGTTGATAAACACATCCTATGTAGGGCTGAGCTCTAAAACTTGTTCTTTGCACTTGGACCAGTAACACATCTATGCACTGACTGCTACCCACTGCAAAAGAAGATTCTCTGACCAAAGCTGAGGAATGCCCAGGTCTATGGGGATCAACATAAATGCTCAAACGGCCACTTAGTAAACAACAGTAGCAGGCTCTACCCTAAAGACAGTGACCTTCTCGGGAATACAGTGCCAGCCTGCGCATCCCTCCTGAGAAACAGGCCTCAAGCCTAAGCAGAAATGGTGAGCTAGCCCCGACTGCCATGCCACTACTGCACCAGTGGGCACATCCTGTCTAGAAGGTTAGCATTGCACCATGAGGGGTCCATCCCTGAGTAAGATCACTGAGGACTTTTCCAACCCAGCAGCCTGTACAGCACCTTTGGACATTATGAAACCAGTCAGCAGGAAGGAAGTTTCACAGTCAGCTTGAGACTGGATTCTCTACGTCCTTCAGACAGAGTGTGTGATGTCATCAGCGATAAGGTCTTCACACCCAAGAGGGCATACAAGCCCTAATTAGACTTAGTGGGTTATAAAAAAGAAGACATGAAATTTGGAGGGTGACACACTGAAGAGAAGATGGAGGAGTTAGAGGAAGGAAATCCCGGATGGAGCTTCATTCTATAGATATATGAAATTCTCAAAAATAAAAAGTTATTTTTTAAATAAAATATGTGAATTAGGAAAAAACTTATTTAGGATAAGGTTACTTTTTAAACGAATATTTTTCAAATACCATAATTAATTTCTTTCCATTTTGCAAGGAAGTTTCTGATCTTTTTATATATAATTTGTGGGCACCTAAAATACTAACTGCAGTAAAAAAATGTAACTTGGCCAGCAGCACACCTGCAGCAGTATGCCCTGGAGGGTGTGCCCTGGAGGGTGTGCCCTGGAGGGTGTGCCCTGGAGTGGTGTGCCCTGGAGTGGTGTGCCCTGGAGTGGTGTGCCCTGGAGGGGTGTGCCCTGGAGGGTGTGCCCTGGAGTGGTGTGCCCTGGAGTGGTATGCCCTGGAGTGGTGTGCCCTTGAGGGGTGTGCCCTGGAGGGATGTGCTCTGGAGGGGTGTTACTTTCCTGCCATGGCTCCTTTTGTCCCCTTCAATAATACTCACAGAGATAGAAAACTCCCTTCCCTTAGCCAATACAAGGGCAATTTATTTTTTAAAAAATATGACTCATAAGTGCTCAGAAGGCCTGAAGCCTCTTTATAATTGACATAGATGAGTTGTGTTATGATGGACATAGATGAGATGTGTTCTGATTGACATAGATGAGCTGTGTTCTGATTGACATAGATG